GCACTGCGAAGAGGGGCCCAGGCACGTAACCATGTCCCCCCCCAGCCGCCGCTCGAAGCCCGCGGCGCACACATGTCCCCCCGTGGGCCGTCCGAGCAAAAGCACCAGAGCAGCCGGAGGGCCAGCACGGCGGGGCGCCCCGACCCCAGAACTGGACGCCAACGGACGGGAGGCGCGGTAGGTGCCAACGATTGGCGCGGGGCCGGCCTGCCCACCGATCGGTCGGCGTCTGGTTGTGTGTGCGTGCGTGCGTGCCAGCGGCAGGGCGTCCGCCCGCCCCTCAACCCAGCATCGCCGGGCATTCGCGGGGGTGCATGGACAACATCGTGTATTTGGCGGGCCTCGACGCGGGAGAGGCCCCGGCTGGGGGGCCGAGGCGCGTGATCGCACGGGAGGAAGGTCGGCGACTGTCCGCCTGAGCGTCCCCCCCCCCCCCCCGTCATCAGAGCTGCTCGATCAGACGGGGGAAGAGCTGCTTGCGCGAGAGCTTGATGTTTCCCTGGTTCATGGCCACCACCAGGGCACCGGGCTCGGAGGCACCCATCGGCAAGTCAACCGAGCTCATCTGGAAGCTCGGGTCCTGGTCGAGAGTCAGAGCGTCGACCGCTCGAGCCAGGGTGTCGGCGGAGGGCGAATAGAGAACGAGGCCCCTGGAGGGAGGGGGCGAAGGGAGAGCGCGGTGCAGGGGAGAGGAAAGGAGCAGGGATCGCGTTGGGAGGCTGTGCGTCAGCAACACATACAACAGGGGGAAGAGGCACGGAAGAGACCCATCCGACGCACCGCTGGAAGGTCGGCTCCGGGAAGTAGGTCATAACACCAAGCAGATCCAGCCCATGGGAGGTGGCAAAGTCCACCAGGGTCTGAGCGAACGCCCCCTCGGAGTCGGGGGAGGCCAGGCGCGAAAGGAAGTCCCCGAGAGGCAGGCCGACAGCCGCCACGCCCAGAGTCAGCCCGCCGGCCGAGACCACCTGCTTGTAGTCCTAGGATGAGATGGCGCCAGTTAGAGAGGCGGGGAGGTATGCGAAAGACTACGAGGGGGGAGGAGAGAGAGGATATGCTGCGGGTCATCCAGAAGAGATGAGGGCCATTGTTTGCCAGATAAACCTTCTCCTTGGCTCTCACCATGGAGAGGAGGGGGTGGAGGCCGGAGAGAGAGGGGGAGAGAGGGGGAGAGAGGGGAGAGAGGGGGAGAGAGGGGGAGAGAGAAGGAAGGAGAGAGAGAAGGAAGGAGAGAGAGAGAAGGAGGGAGAGAGAAGGAGGCAGAGAGAGAGGAAAGGAGGGAAAAAAGGAGAAACAGAAAAGGGAGGGAGAAGATGGGCGAGAAAGCAGGATGGCAAGACACACTTTGCGGAGGAGATCCATCACACTCAGAGCCGAGATGTCCAACTTGGCGGCCTGCGCCTGGTCGAAAAGCGACCGGAAGAGATTCTGGATGGTCGGTTGGACGGTCGATTGAGCCAGCAAGAGACCAGTGGCCTCCGGGCTCCGGAGCAGAAGATCGCCCAGATCCCGAGCGGCCGACACATCACGCTCGGTGGCCCGGTCCAGCGCCGGGTCCAGGTTGCCCGTGTCCACGAGGATGGCCGACAGGAGGGACACGCAGAGAGCCGGATCGAGCCAGGCCCGGGAGATTTCCCCAGGGACCAGGGTATGCGGCGAGCGGCCGAGGAAACGCTCAGCCACCAGCGTGGCACAGGAGCCGATGGTCAGGATCTCGCGCACGGCGGCCGTCGGGAAGGCGCCCCCATCGGCGCGATGGTCCAGCACCGAGCGAACCTTCCCCTGGAAGAGGTCCGCCTGCTGGGCGGCCGGCTGGTTGTGATCCACCAGATGCACGGCGGCGATGGTGGTCCAGTCGACCTGGTCCTGGCAGGCCAGCGTCTCGAAGGAGGCCTTGGTGCCCGCGCTGTCAGCCCCCTCGGCGGCCGCCAGCCCGAGGAAAGACCCCAGCAGCCAGGTAACTTCGGTGCGCAGGGCAAGGTCCTGCCGGCAGACATTCAACACCGGCAGGGCCGGCCGGTCGTCGGCGGTGCCCAGGTGCAGGGCGCTCTGATGCAGGTAGTATGCATAGGACATGGCCGACACGGCCGAGTCCAGATCCGCCGACTCATTGCCAACGACCACGGTGGCCGGCTGGAAGACCGGCCACCCGACCGGGTGGGCTGTGGCGTTGGCCGCGGTTGGGAGGACCGTCGCCGAGGCTGCCGCCGGGGCCACCGCCACCGGGGGACGAGTGTTGGCGGTGGCCGTTTGACGCAGGAAAGCGCAGAAAGGAAAGCCCGAGAGGGGGGTCCGACCGACAGTCGACGGAGCGGCCATGGCGGTGAAGAGCGTGAGGGGGGGGGGGGGGGGGGGGGATCAACCCTGCAAGAAAGACCGGGGCAAAGGGGAGGGGGGGCGGGTATCTCATTGGGAAACTGCTCCCCCGGAAGGCTCGCTGGGCCGGCATGCCCTCCGAGAAAGGGGTCCTCGGGGCCCTCGCTCCGATCGGCTCGCGGGGCCGGGGAGCTGATCCCGCGAGCCGGAGACAGGAAAGCGCGCACCGGGAGCCGCCCTTGAACGGAGGACGATCTCCCGAGCAGCCCCGCACACATACACACGCCACAGGGCGCTCAGGCCGGGAGTGCGGATATGTGGGGAAAATAACGCAAATCTGGGGGAAATGTAGAAGGGCATGATCATGGCACGTGATTCAACGGGTGCAGTTGTATTGCGGTTCAAGTGGCCTTCGCGCCGGCGGACGAGGCGATGGCGGCCCCGGTGGCGGCGATCGTGCCGGCCGCCTCGGAGATGGCCGCGTCCAGCTTCTTCAGCAGCGACGCCTGCGTGTGCAGTTTGACCAGGAGCTGCTGCTGCTCGGACCGCAGGTCTGGAGGGAAAGCGAGGCGGGGCAGGACAAGCAGCCCGGGAGAGATCAGCACGGGGCAGAGGGGGCGGGGGCGGGGGCGGGGGCGGGGGGGGAGGCGCAGGCGAATGATGGCATTGGCGCAGGAGGGGAGGGGAGGAGTGTGTAGGCGCACCGTCCACGGTGTTGGAGATGCCGGCAGCCTGGTGGTGTAGTCCGGCCAGCTGCTGCATGCGCTGGACCACGATTGGCAGGGTTTCGGCCACCTGGTCCCACTTGGTGACGGCCTCGTAGCAGCGAGCCAGGCGCAGTGAGAACGCCGCCTCGTCGTCCAAACTATCGGGGCTAGTGATGCCGGCCGCGGCCTCCAGCTCCGGGAGGATGGTCTCACGGGCCCGAGTCACCAAGCCGGAAAGGCGGTCCGTATCCAGGGCATTGAGCGACTGCTCCAGTTGGCCAAGGCGCTTGGCATGGTTCTGTGGCCAGGAGGGGGGGGGGGGGGGGAAGGTGGTGAGAACGGGTCAGCGGCGCTTAAGAGTGCGGGCCGGGGTCGGGGAGGCATGGGCCCGGGCATGCTGGCACGAGAAAGGGCAGCAGGAGGGGGAGTGGCGAAAGGGAAGGGAGCGAGAGGAAGAAACCGCGCGTACCGCGGCCTGAGCTTTGGGCGTCAGGAAGCCCGCCTGCTTCAGAGCCTGCTCCAGGGCGTGGATGCGGCTCTCAATGGCGCGCTGCTGCTCGACGCTTCGGCTGAGGAGCTCCTTCAGCTGCAGTGGGTCCTCCTGTTTCGCACGTCAGGGCAAGTGAGAAGAAGTCAACAAAGAGGCAGAGGCAGAGAGAGAGAGAGAGAGGAAGGGAGGGAGGGAGGGAGGGGGGAGGGGGCAAACAACGCCGGGAAGGCGGGGCGACATTTCGCCGCCCAGCGAGAAGGGGGCGATGCACGTGTGTCGGAGAAACGCACGCAAACCGGGAAGGCGGCACTGGCAATGGTGGACAGCTCGGCCGAAGCGCCAGACCCGGCGCGCAGGGCCTCCGCCTGGGCCTGGGTCGCTCCGGCGAAGTGGCCTCGGCCGGCAGAACCCTGAGCCGCGCCCAGCTGCTGGATTTGCCGCGAAAGGGCTCGGGCCTGAGCCACAAGGTCCCCAGTGGCGCCGGGGTCCGGGCGCGTGTCGGACCCGGCGTCCGAGGCGTCCATCTCGGCCACCAACTCGGCCACCTCGCGCTGGAGGCGACTCAGTCGGGCCTGGCGCGACTCGGTCTGGATGTCCACCACGGCCGTGGTGAGGGCCGAGAGGCGGTTGTGCGATTGCTCGAAGAGCCGGACCGCCTCCTGGCGCTCCAGGGCCGTGGGAACCACCAGCTCCAAATGCACGTCTCCGCTGACCCGAGTGAAGGAAGCGTCCGCCGGCCGGGCGGGATAGTTCATTTGCGTCGGCGAGGCCGGCGGAGTGGGCGACTCGAAGATCTCCAACGCCAGGGTGGAGATCATCGGTGCACTCGACAGGGGAATCGAGGGGGCGGACATGGCGACCGCGGAGGTAGAGAGGCTGGGGATGGGAAAGCGGCGGCCGGGGGGGGGGGGGG